CATTTCAAATAGGGTGGAGCAGTAGTGCGCCAAGGATGAACAAAAACCAGAAGGAAAAAATTGAGATTTTAGCTGTGACTTGACAAGAATGACCAATTTAGACCTTTCATTTTCAATTTTGAAATGTTAAGATCGGTACCAACTCAAATAACTGGTTCTGAATCAAAATTTATATATTATCCAAATTCAATCCCAAAAATAAATCTAAAAAATACAAATATAAAAACCAATACTTAAACACAAGCACTAATTGCAGTTTCTTTAACAGGGAGGGGGGGCGCTAGAAATAGTGGCAGCCTATTAGTTGGTTTTTCGGCCCATAACTGACAGAACCCAGGGTTGGCCATTTCGTTGTGGTTGGTTATTAAGCCAAATGAACGGTTTTCAATTCAGGATATTGCAAGATCGGTTTGTTCTGCTAGTATTGGTCGGTTATGTTTTAAACGGAATAGACATTAGCCTTATGCTTCCTCAAAACCTTATGCCAACCAACCGTATGCTCCCCACTAGTTCAAACCGCTGAAAACAACTCTTCTCAACTAGATGTTAATAGCGCAGTCTTAACTTTAAAAGAATATATGTATGTGGTAGCTCTAGGGATTTGAGGATGCTACTCACCAGTAGTATAGCTGCATGAAGCTATGCATTATCTTCCATAGGCCCTCAGAGCCTGCAGTAGCGATTTGCTTTCTTCCTCTTCTCTTTTTATTTTTGGAGTAGCAAAACAGATAGATCATTTTTCATTTACAAGTATGATAGTGGCATGGCAACTCCTTTTATATGCTATGTCATAATCTTGAGAACTAGATAAGCTCTTTCGCAGGAACTATTGCACCGCATGAAACTGCAGTTCGCAATGAACTGATCTTGGCACTTGCATTTTGTCTACGCATTCGAGTCACTAAAAACAAAAGATGACCTACTCTTGGATCAATCAAAAATGCCCTTGACCGACTATAGTGAAGGTGGTCTTAATTCTTCCAAAATCAATTTCCTCCCACATGCTTCGAGGAAATTATCAAAGGGCACTTGTTCTTCCATGAATTAATGCAATGGGTTTTACAGATCACCTTCAAGCAGTGAAGCACGTTCATCTATGATAGTCAAATGTAGCACCGCGGTTTTTGTCTTGCAATTGTACCCAAATTCCTCATTGAAGTTTACTGGATATTTAAATGACGAGTGGATTTGGGGTCTGGACACCCAATTTACTGTCTTTTATTGTATTTTCCTTGGATCCAATGTACTGTCTTAGAGCACCACGAAATAACCCATCGCTCAAGCGCTGAAGCCGAGGATAATGTTGTGGCCCTTCACCTCTGCAGTTGCAGATATTACTTCGATCACCAATCTTCTATATGAACTGCATATTTCCATCTCCAACAGCCTATTATCTGGTGTGAGAATTCGAATGCCACATACATGTCGAACTTGATATTGATTTATCCGGGTCATCTACAAATCTCCAACATTCCTACTTAATAGCAATTGGAAGACATTTTTACTAAAGGGCTCACTTCTAGAAGATTTCAACTATCGGAATCCAATTTGCTTGCGATCCTACGCTCAACTTGTAGGGGACGATAGGGTATACTTTCAGTGGAAGTTTGAAATTTTCTTCTATTTATCTTTGTCAAGTGTTTTACCTAAAGGTAGACTTCTTTGTTGTCGAAGAGATACAAGTCACTGAGTGAATTTCCCACAACGATTCACATTTCAATAAAATAAATAGCTATGATGGTGAAAGGTACAAGCATTGTCAGAGGCATAGACCTTATACTATTTCACGGAACAGTTGGCAAGTAACTTCAACAACTACAATTAATTTCCATCCAATTCATTTTCCATTAAATTACTAATCAATTCTTACTTCTAATTTTGGTATATTGTTTACATTCATAATTACAATAGATTTATTGTGTTTGAATATCTTCTCCCCAACTTTCGATTCATTTGGGTTGAGATTCAATTTCACTTGAGTTGTGTTCTTCAATTCCTAATCCATTTATGAACAGATACACATTGCTTTATATCTTGCATCTTCAAAATATTTTGTGATACTGAATATTTGTTGCATAGTTGAATATTATCAATATCCTTTAAATTAGGCTGTAGTTAATTTAAATATTCTGCTTCCTTAATCATAGACTTTCCTTATTAGTGAATTCATGGTGTATATATCTCTATAGTCATTCAAGCAATAAACATTAGAAAATAATCTCTGTTATGATATCAAAGCAGCTGGCTCACGCCCACACCAGAAAGAAGTAATTTTTTTTCTTTCTCCTTTTTCTCCACTATCGGCTTAGTGCCGCTGCCATCATGGACTCACAATCCTCCCCAGCGCATGCTACCTCCTCCATTCCATCCACAGACGCTCCCATTCTGGTTCAACCAATCACCACCATCGGCGCTCCCGCTAATTAGCATCCTATCATCTCCTTCAATGTTGTTGTGCAAGCACCATTGAAGCTTACTGCGTCCAATTACCTCTCATGGCGCCTCCAGTTCTCAACTCTTCTCACCGGTTATGTCCTGCTCAGGTTTGTTGACGGAACAAATCCATGCCCCGAGAACACCATCACAATTAATGGTGTCGCCACTGTCAACCTCGCGCATCATACATGGATCCGGCAAGATCAATTCATTTTGAATACTATCATCGGCTCATTGTCTCCAATCTTGATTCCATTTATTGCAACCGCTCGGACCTCTCAAGATGCTTGGTCGATTCTCGCTCGCACATACGGCAAACCAACCCGTGGTCGTATAACCCAATTAAAAACTCAACTTAGTTGTCCGGTCAAAGGCTCTCAAACGATCACCGAATTTATGCAAAACATCAAGACCAAGGCTGATGAACTTGCAATGATGAATGCTCCTATTGATGTTGAGAATCTCACTATAAAAATTCTCAATGGACTTGATGAGGATTATAAAGAACTTGACAATGCTATTCACGCCCAAGAGACATCAATCTCCTTTGAAGAATTGTACGAAAAGTTTCTCAACCGCGAAGCACACCTTGTTGCTGTAAAGAGTACCCAAATAACCTTCTCGACCACTGCTCATGCAGCTGCAAAGTCTGCATCATCTCATAGAATGCATAATGGTCCCACGGGTTTACCACAATCTGGCTCTCTTCGCTCCTCCGAGGCATGGCCCCCACGATCACAACATTCACTTAATCATCGAGGTTTTCGTCCATATCTTGGGCGGTGCCAGCTATGTGACCAACAAGGCCATTCTGATAAGCGGTGTCCTGCTTTCAAACATGTTCCCTAGACTAATTCAACAACACCTTGCAGGCAAAATAGACCAGGCTATGCTTCTCCTCAAGCCAACACCGTCACCTCTTCCCCGACATCATCCAATGGATTCTTGACTCAGGTGTCACCCATCATGTGACAACAGATCTTGCCAACCTCTCACTACACTCTCCATATGAGGGAACGGACGATGTTGTAGTTGGCAACGGTACAGGTTTGAAAACTACCCACACGGGCTCCCTCTCCCCTCCCTAACTCATCTCCTTTAAAATTTTCTGATGCCCTACGTGTACCCTCAATGAACAAAAATTTATTATCCGTTTTCCAGTTATGCACAACTAATAATGTTATTGTTATTTTTACCCCAACACACTTTTAGGTGCAGGACCCTCGCACGAGGGCTCCATCCTCCGTCAAGGACCACTTAAAGGCGGTATTTACAGTTGGTCATCATCATCTTTGGGTGTGTTGGAATCACCACTTGCTTTTTTTGTGTCTCATGAGTCCCTTTCTCTATGGCATAGTTGTTTAGGTTATCCGTTTAATAGAGTCATGCGTCATTTATCATCGTCCTTGTCTGTCTTTTTCTACTATAATCAACTATCTTTCATTGTAATGCTTGTCTCTGCAATAAAAGTCATAAATTACCTTTTCATGATTCATCCCTTACATCTCATTCTCCTCTTGACTTAGTGTTCTCAGATGTATGGACCTCTCCAGTTGTATCATGTGATGACTATAAATATTATGTAATTTTTATTTATCATTACTCCAAATATATCTGGTTCTACCCACTTAAATATAAATCTGATGTCTTTCTGTGTTCAAATGCTTCAAATCTATCGTCGAAAAATGATTTTTCCAATCTATCATCACACTGTACACCGATAATGGTGGGGAACATCTGGCTCTTAAAGCCTTTCTTCGAATTCATGGTATTTATCACCTAACAACCCCACCTTACACACTTGAGCATAATGATTTCTCCGAACGCCGACACAGTCACATTGTTGAAACCGGCTTAATGTTGCCTCATCACGCTTCTATCCCCCCCCTCCCCTCTCATTTTGGCCCTTTGCCTTTGCTGTCGCTGTATATCTCATCAATCGTATGCTTAAACAAAACCTCTCAATGAGATCATCCTTTGAATGTCTCTTTCAAACTCCTCAATTTCTTAAAACTTCGTGTGTTCAGTTGCCTTTGTTATCCCTGATTACGTCCGTACACGTCTCACAAGTTAGAGTCTCGCTCTCGTCTATATGTATTTCTTGGCTATTCACTTACTCAAAGTGCCTTCTTATGCTATGACCGCCGTCTAAAAAAATCTACATTTCACGTCATGTTGTATTTGTTGAGCCTGAGTTTCCATTTCAATCTTCTTCCTCAGCCAGTGGTGGTATTGACTCAAGTAATAACTCATCAGAAATGGTATCGCATGAAGTGGCCAAGGAGGCCTGTTACCATTCACATCAATTTCTCATCTCCAAACTTTACATTAATGTTATGTATGTTTAATCCTACCCCTATCCTCACTTTTAATTTTTTGGCGATGGTAATTTACGTCTATTTCTCAACTGTAGATAATATTTATGAAAAAACAAATTGATTTGTGTTAGAAACCGAAGGTCGCAAATAGTCAAACACTCTGAAAATATAAAGTACAAACATTGTACAACTAGAACTATGGTAGTTTGAAGCATTGAATAAATCGCATGAAAAAAATGAACTCACTGTAAACTGATCAGGGCGACGATCGGCTGATGCCAGAAATCGCAACCTCATAGCAGCTATCTGCTTGTATTCCATGTATAATGCATAACATGCCCAGATCGAGAAGACATATGACATAACCAAATGTGCCAAAAACCTGGAAAGAGAAGTTGAGACTCCAAGTAAACATGCATGATCCCTCGTTAACACTCAAAATAGTAGTATTTACATCTTATAAAAAATTAAAAAAAAAACATATAATGAAAATCCACGTGAATGAACTACCACTAATTTCTTGTGCTATCACTCAAAAGCCAAAATCAAGTAGTGCAAGCTTCAAGATAATGATGAAGATTACCAATGAAAGTGGTACCAGCGTTTTCACGTTCCATTTGATAAAACTAGCAGGATTATTACCATAAACAACATAGATAGTATAAGTACGGGCAAGCTGAAAGGTTATTGTAAGGTATTCTCTCTCACCTAGGAATACGTTCCTTAGTCCGTATACGGCAAGGCAATAGCTATTTTTAGAAAACAAAAAAAAAACACACACACAAGATAAATATGAAGTTTCATTGAACGATAACAAATATTTACTTCACACCTTTTCGATCCAGATGGAACATTAGATATTGATAGCTTATCAATATCACTGAAAGTCAAATCCTTGATGTGCTCTAGTGTTCCCCCTGTCCAGTTGACAGGCACTAAAACCGCAAAAGCTAGTAAAGTTATGGGCACAAACATTTTCAAGCTGCATACCAGCACAAATCATATTAGATATTCCAGCAACAACAAACAAGACACTCAATAATGCATATTAATGATTTCAATGATCTTAGAAAATGAATTTAAACAGGAATTTAATGGTATATCAGTCACCAATCACAGAACAAGGGACAACATCACTATGACCTAAGATACAAAATTACAATTCAAAAAATTAGCAAATACACTATATCAATCTCACAAAGTGCAAAGTCACCATGTTGTCATGTTCTAAGTAAGCAAAATAATCTTTGGGCAAATGGTTATTCATTAAAACTATCAAAACGGTCGTGAGTATAAATAAGAAATTCCCCGAGGTTGTTTCCAACTACTGATTAATGAAATTAATTTCATTTGATTAACTAAGAATCTACCAAATTTAATTACTTTAAACTTGCTCAACTCCATGTAGAATTTACTAAAAATAGTTTCAGTAATTTAGCAAGAATAAAAAATGTGCATATACAAATGACTTACATACCTTTTTTTTTACGTTTGTGGAATTCATTTGCTCTAAACAGCGTAAAAGGGAAGGAAAGAAACATACATGCATATAGGTATTGTTGAACTCAATACAGAGACTTATAATATATAAGACTCACCCAAGAAGATAAATACGAATGAAGACAACCGAATCAAGTCCTGCATGGTCAATGAGCTCAGGTTGTGGCATTCTAAGTGCTGCAGGCATCCAATTGAGAAACCTTATATATGTACTACAGTGTAAGTTGACAAATCTGCTAACAATGGCTCCAGAGTGCGTTGGACTGCCCCTTATCCCTTTCAGATACCATTTCGGGAAGTAAACTCTATCATTAACCGGCTGAAGCCTTAGAATTGCAAATGCCACAAGGAATGCAAATGCAGACAGAAGATTAATCGCTGCTGACAAACCAATATCTTGAAAACTGGCCATCTCTTTCCCAAAATATTACTGATATCCCGCTAACAATTATGAAAATACGTGAGGAAATCGATACATTGTACGAAGCAGATGGCTCCATTAGAAACTATTAATTCTTATCACAAATTTAGAGCATCAAACAAAAGGCAAATAATATTGCATAGATACAGCTCACTAACATTTCCAGCGATAGATTGATTTTTGTAGCTCCTGCAGCAATTTCTGACATTTTAAAAAATAGAACTAATGAAATATATTTGACATAAGGCCTCATTTGAGAGAGCAAAGCAAACATAGGTTCGTCGTCAATTCTTATTTCAACAACTTGTTAGAGTTCGTTTGTTTCTAATAACGAACAATTATATAGGCATGTAAATGACATAATTCCACCATAATCAAAGGAAGAGCAATCTAAACACTGCATGGATAACAATTCGTCAAATAAAGCCCTAGATAGAATAAAAGACATCAACTAAACAAATTTAGCAATTACCTCTGTTTGATTCCCGTGAAAACAGACAAAAGCAAAACGAAATCTGAAGAGGAGGCGGAGTCCCTGATATACCTTTCTTTACCAGTACATGAAAAATCCTTAACCAAACCAAACGTTTTCTTCGTCCTCGTCTGACAAGAAAATGTAAGGCGGAAAATAAATTACCAAAAAAGTTTTGATAATATAATACCAGATAGTCCGTCGTTCTTGATTGGTCTTACCAGAATCGAATCCAAGGAGACTGAAATTCGATCTTACTCGCGACGAAGAATCGAAATTCGGGGCCTTAGTTCGCTGGTTAGGTTGTTATTTTCCCTCTTTTTTGAACTCCAACGAATCGAAGCCAGGAGAGAGGAAAAGAGTGGCGCAAGAAAAGAGAGCAATCGTTGTATTTATGGCGGCAAAAAGCTCGGACCGGTTTTGGTGCTGTTACGGCCACGCTCAAATATTTGAATTTCTTTTCAATTTGACGAAATTGCCCTCTGTCACCTTGTAACTGACAAGTGAAAGACATTCTTTTTTTGGAGAAATGGAATGCGAGATTTTGAGTACACCCCCAAATATTTAATGAATTTTCATAACATAAAAATTAAAATTCTCTTTATTATTAAATAAATAAAAATATTTTTTTAATTAAAAATTTGTATGACTTTTAGAAATATTCAATCTTATTTTTTTGTAAAATAACACGTTCAATTTCTACGATTTTTGTTAGGAATGAAATTCAGAAATAAATTAAATTCTAATTTTTTTTAATATTTTTCGTTATATAAGATGCATAAAAAATAAGTTTTTGTATTTTATATTTCTCATATTTAATAATTTATAATTAAAAGTAAATTATATCTACAAATAAGATTATAATACATGCTAAATTTCTTATTTCATTCGCTTATAGTGCATTATATTTGTCAAATTCATTAAAGTAACAGATGTTTTAAAAGTTCAAATAAGAACCCCGTAACTATCTTATTACTCGTTCAATTATAGGTCAAAATATTTCAGATCGTATTTTACAACTGTTTATCTTAAAATTTATTATATCATGGAAGGGGATCATATTTTTTTTTCACTATTAAATATTATCACTTATTGACTACTTTTATATTATAGTTTTTCAACTTCAATTATGCTTAATCAAAGTTCTTGCACCACAACAACTGCACACGTCGAGATTACTTTAGTTGTTGATGTTATTTAGTACTCCACTACCATTAGTCATCAGTCTACTCAGATAAAAACGATGGATAAATATCTCAACAATTATTATTGTTTTATATTTTTATCATTTTGTCTCAGTCTCATTTTTATTATAGGTAAGTAATATTCTCTTTGGTAACAGGTTGTTTTTTTTAAAAAAAAAACTTTAGACATAGAGAAAACTCATGTGTAAAATTTACTTGACTCCCTGTTGTAAGAATAAATTGGTTATAAATATGTTTTGAAGATCAAAACCTACGAAGATGTATCTATTGATGTTACAAAGTATGTTTTATATACAAAAGATATTTTTATAAATATGGTATTTTTTTATCTTACCTCTCTATTGACTTCTTTTTATAATTTGTTAACTATTATTGCTACTAATAATCATATTATGTAAATAAACATATAAATATTTTTCTTAATTGTAAACTATAAGGAAACACTTGTACGCATCATCTCCTGGTTACTCTCATGTACTTCACAAGGTTTTTCGACTTTAGCAAATATTATGTGAATTGAAACAAACACCAAGTATTTGGTTTGCCAAATTTAGTTTAACTATTTTTAAAGTTTATGATTCAACTTTATTTGTCTAATGGATTAATTTTTGTATTAATCTTTTGTTACTGTTTTTGATAATATGATTATGATTAGTAATAATGTAATACATGTTCTGTAATTATAATAATATTGTAGTCAACTTTTTGAAATGAAGGATATTTGTACTCTTTGTTTTTCTTTTTTTTTTAGTATTGAATTAATAGATATTATCAAGCTCAAATTGAATATATTTTCACTTATTATCTTGTAATGGTATCACCATCATAGAACTATCAATGTGTTTTTTGGAGTCTAATGTGAAACTCGTCACTCTTAAATGATATCCCTAATGCCGATCCTAGTATATACTCACAAGTAGCCAAAAGTCCGTTTTATCTCTATATCGATATTCTTAATACTGCTCTGTAGTTTATTTAATTAGTCAATTTATATTTGTTCATGATACTTGTTCTGTGAATGAATTATTATATAAAATATACTTATTTTATAAACTTTATTTTTCAACTAATCTAACCAACTCTTTATTAGTTTTATCTAAATATAATAATGTTGAGTAAGTGGTAAAATTTTACTGAACCTCTTTCTATTATTGGACATGCTTCTTTTTTTGGAGTTCTTTAGATAATCTAAGTGCTACACTCTTAACGATATCATTTATAAATTAATTTAATTTTGTAACTACTAAAAATTATGAGTATCACTCTTTTTTTTTATATTACTCCATGTTGTGTTGTGGTAATTGAAATTATTGTTCATATTGACACTATAATGTATTCCACAAGCATACGGAATATATCGAAATTAATTATCAATTTGTGTTGTCGTATGCTTATAAACTCTCTATTTAATCTCTATATATTTATCAAATAAAATAACTAAGAATTAATATTGATATATTGAATATATATATAAAAAATCAATTGTCATTTTATTCATAATATATGTTTATGACACTCTCAACTTAACCTATAGAGACAACAATAATATGAGTTTGGGTTAACTTAGATCTGAACGCTCATATAAAAAATGAGCACAAAAGTTGAAGTAAAATTAGGATATGTTTGATTTTAAAAAAAAAACTGTACAGCATTTGCTATATAAATCTGTTTAAGTTATCCAAATCGATTTCAATCTAGTTATTTTATTACATTAATATAAATATCATTATATTTATATAAAAAAATTAAAAATATATCTAGTATATATATATAATATATACTTATATTTATCAATATAAATATAATAATATTTTATAATATAATATATATCTAATAATACAATAGATTATATTATTAATGTAAACATAAATACATTTATAATAAAATATAAATATATATATATACGCACACACATATACATAGTGGGTAGAGTTTAGACGATTTATATAAACGGAACCCTTAAAACCACAACGACTCTCCTATTTTTATGTCAATAGAAATTCAACCTCGTGCGAACCTACACTTGAAAAAAATGCCATAATGGGTTTTAACAAGTTTGATTAAATGGATATAGGGTGCAAATAATTGCTATTTTCCCCCAAATCTTATCTTTTAAATCGTTTTCAAGACTTAGCTTCAAACTCAAGTTGACATTAATACATCCACTTTAAGTTTAAAGAAAATGTTAATATAATAAAGCATGTATCTTAAATAGAGTTATATATAAGTTATTTTGTACGCATATATTATTTTCTATATAGATTAGTTCCTACCAAAGTTAAATTTATTATATAAATGATACACCATCTGAATCCAGTTCATAATTAAAAACACACAATACAATTAAAGTCAATTATACATCAAAACTTGGTCGTACGGCCCATGTCTAGTATATTGTCAATATTATGTTTGCATCCGACTTATTGCGGTAAGTGTTTAGTTTGAGGGAGATTATTATATGATGTAATTTCATATAAATATAAAAAATTTGTACTAATTTATATATTTGAGATTTTTTGTTATCGTCAATTCAAAATATCTTATTCTCATATTTGAGTTTATTAAGATAAAATTAGATAGAATTAAAATCTATATCCTCCAAATTGCTTTCTATTTCGGGTAGCCGAACAAGCAGCTTATGCGCGTAATAAAGCATAAACCGATGTTAAAAACTAATTAAAATCACATTTTACATCTAATTTTGATTAATTTTTGTAATTATTTATGGGATTTGCAAATTCTTAATTCACTAAATAATGCTTTTTAGTTTTTTTAACAAAAATTAAGAAATGAAAGTCGGTCTTTTGGTCGAAAAGAATTAGTCAGAGCGTAATCCGGATTCATCAGTTAATCCTCTGTGTCATCGTTCGACATTCATGTCCAGTCTGTCAAAGTTCAACTACATACTGTTAGGATAACAAATATGTGGGCCAGTCCTGACATATCCACATCTCACCGCCGTACGATCGTCTCAATCACAACGCCGATATCCATCGGGATCATCGCTACCGACATCATGATCATCATCACCGCCGTCGCGGCGAGTACCTTCACGCTCATCTTCATCGGACGACAACGGCAGCAGCCAACAGCTGCCGTACAGGTGCCCATTCACGCACACGAAGTACTCGATTCCACCATCGTGGGAGCCAAGCCGCCTAGCTGCGCTCTTCGGCACCAGCCGAGCCGTCGACATGCTCCATACGCGGGCCCCGCAGTACGAACATCTTACCTGCTCCTCCAGCTCCACCTGTCGTCTGATCAAACACGCCATCGTCCTCGATCTCATAAATCCCTGAAATACCCCTCTGTAGATCCCTAGATCATCCTCTTTATCCCCCATTGGGTGCTCGCAGGGGTCGCTAACGTACAACAAATCGCCGCGGCACTTCTTGCTCAAGAAACTCTGACCCGACGTTTTCGAAAATCGAGACGCCTTCACGAAATGACCCGGACTTGGTCGACTCAACTTGAAATGCCGAGTTGACTCACAACCGCAGCAGAAGAACATTAGCTTCGCGAGCGCGTGCCACCCACCGCTGATTCTTCCGTCGGGCACTCCGTTGGCCAATGCAGCCACCATCCGCGGCGCTCTGGACGCACAGAGGTTTCGCCAGAGAATTCGATTAGCTATGGCTCTGAGCTTACGATTAACAGATGCGGTCAAACAGAGCACCTGTAAGTCCCATTTGATAGACTCGAACACAAGCAACAGAATTCTCTCGTTGAGTATCCCCGATTCGGCAGAGTACTCGGACCCCTGATTCGGTGGGTTCGTTCTAATTCTCTGGTTAGCACTCATATTGTACCACATTACTTTGACTCTCTCTCTCTCTCTCTCTCTCTCTCGTTCTTTTCTAAATTATGTTTCTCGATCCTTCTCTGGTCTGGAGAAAGTGCTGACAATTCCTGGGCGCGGATATATAAATGTCGAGCGAGGTTTAAGAAATACACGTGTCATTCAATAATTCGCTACTCGGCAGACACGTGGTTAGTTAGGATTGGATAAGAGACGCAGGGTGCCGTGAGAGAGAATCGAAAAAAAAGAGACCGTAGTCAGCTAGCACAATGAAATCTTATCAGAAAGCGCCACGTGTCCCAAAATATCTAATTTCGTGGCTCCAAAATATCTAAGATTCTGCGCGGTAGATGCTAACGGAGTAGCAGACACGTGTCCACAAACGTTTATATAATTTAGATAAATTAAAAAAAATCTACATAAACATAATCACGGTTAGATTTTATTAACTTAAAAATATTATAATTCATTGTTATTTTTTTTAAAAAAAAAAACTTATATTTACTTCATAATTTATTTTAAAAAAATTAATTTGTATTTCAATAATAATTTTAAATTATTGAATTAATTAAATATGAATTTACAGCATGGAAAAATGGGAAAGGTTGGGGAGCGCAAAAATTAAGGGCGTTCGCTTTTGTCAGCAAGAGAACGTGGAAGGTGGTGAGGGAGGGAGGGAAGAAGGCATTAATTAAGGAGGGGGTGTAATTCCAATAAATAAATAAATAACTCAAGTGGTTTGGTTTCCGTTTCCAGAACGTGGCTTTCACTGTTACTCTTACTTTTCCCCACCCTGGTTTTCTATTTTTGGTGACAAAACGACAATTCATCGAATCTTGCGCCATCACTTATCTCAACAAATCGTAATTTTTAAAATAATATTTAATACTAAAATAATCAAATTAATTAATTCAAAATTTATTACAATTTAACTTAGTTATTTTTCACATATAATAATTTAATTAAGAATATTAAAATATTCTTAATTACCTGGGGAGACAAGACCTCGGTTGTCAATCATTGATTGGCAGTGCTAAGATCACGTCTCCAATAATATAAAATCTTCTCACAGCCAATGGTAATGTGACGCGTGTCCACGAGACACACAGTCTCGATTTGAAG